CATAGAGGGTAAAATTATAAAATAAAAGTCTGAATATGGTTTGTGGACATTTGTTTTGAAAGTACCGAAGTAGAAGGACCCGCGACACCGTTATAGATGCCCAACACCAATTAAGATACTCTAGGAATCCCCCCAGAACATTTGAAAACCATCCGAACTTCGTCTCTCCTTAAATAATGTCCAACCTCTTGTGCCTACTCTCCTTTCAGAGTGATGCGGGAGCATGTACTCTGCACGTGTAGCACTCCGTACGTGTCATGTCTACTCCCGCCATCGACATCCTGCCTTGTCGAAACTTCCTTCGTACTCTCTCTTTGATCGTACCAAGTTTTACGTTGTTGGCTAGAAACTATATCCCCGACGTTGATCTTGTGGCGATATGACGTTCCTCATGAATTAGTTTGGTGTGTTATTGTTTTGCGCACACAACACCACTAGCATTGGAGAATACCCTGTATGTTTATCTGTGCTTTTTACATCATCTGAACCACCAAGTATCCTATCTGATTTCATAGTTGATTTTTGTGCCTAAAATTACACTATTTTACAAAACCTTACGTACCTTGATTTGGGTTGTTCCCGTAGTATTAATGTTAGCCGGATACTCTCAATATTTGAGATATGTTCGCAGATTTGGACAATCGCTACTGTTTCCCTATACATTTTTAATGAATTCATGAAAGCGATTCAAAAGCATCTTAACGCGTCTAAACTATCGTAACTCTCACATATTATTCTTCGACAATCGATGTGCTGTTACTCGGCTTCACCGCTAGTCCTATTGTTTTCTTATGGTAACTTCTCACATCTCTGTGATCTTTCGTACAAACTTCACCTTATTAATCGGCTATTATCGTGCTTATGCTAGTGTCTATTACCTCCTACAGGCACCTAGTACACCCTACCTATCGTCTAAGTGTTCTACCGCATATAAGAAACCTCTATCGCATCCGATGGTGAGTCCTAGCTATTAATTGCCTACGCGCTTCACCCCCGTCTCCATCAACCTCCATACCCATCTTTTGTGCCTTATAGCAGTCCTCAGGATCCTTCTCTATCCGTGTCTATATTCATTGCGCGTATTTCTGTTGGTCTCTAATCCCAACTACTTTTGTGTTTCCCTATATATGGTCTCTTCACTGTTAGTCTAATTTCACTATATAAAAAAGGGATCACACCACGTGTATGAAAGACTACAGGTCTCAGACCAGATTTTACAGCAAGAAACCCTCTGTGGTTTCAAGAAAGAAATCATCAGAGTTAGCTCACTCTCGAGAGCTAATCAAGTTGCTTAACTTACTCCCGAGAGCAGATTGAGTGTCTCAACCGACTCCCGAGGTTTGATTAAGTCTGCCAACCGCAACAATTTAAAAATAGCTGCGTCTCTATAAGAGTCGTGTGGTAAATACACGTCAATAACTATATATCAACGTACTCCCCTCATCAGAGGTGAGTCGTTGGCTATTTATTGAACATTACCTGGTCAATTAGCGCATGTGCGTAATCGGATCAGAACCCTAAACTGGGTTCATGACCGATTCACAAATAGACCCTAATAACCCTAAATCGTATATCTGATCACAAAAACCCTAATAACCCTAAATCGAAAGCATCATGTGATCAGGGTGAAATTTGGTTGCAGAGAAGTCGAAATAGAATAGCATCGAAGTGTTAAAGTGTTCTGCAGAAGGTTTCTCATACCGACCATGCGAGTTTTTACCTTGGCCAGCTCAAGCGGCTGAACACTCGCAAAAAGGTGAGGTAAAACGTGCATTTGCCTTTTGTTTAAATAAGTTCCGACACATTATCAAACACAGCACAAACGATGAGACAGGCATGCTTGAATATTTGGTGCGATGGCGCGAAGGCAACCCAACGTGAGAGACAGTCGAGGCCTTTAACGATCTCAACGACATTGTCGCCTGCCACAAGGACTCGCAGACAGGCACCCGCAAACGACGCCGTGATCAGATTTAGGTTTTTACCAGTACATAGACGGTGCGCTCGAGACGTATACTTCGGGCCCTCTAGCTCTCTGAGGTTAAATGCTAGCACACTGCTCTAGCTCTCATTGGATAAATACCAGCATAGCGGTCCGGGCGTGAGTATTCCTTTCCTCATCTCTAAAGCTGGCACACTAGTAGGTAGTGCTTCAGCTTGGTTGGGTTTATTAGAGGGTTTATTAGGGCTATTTTAGTTTATGTTATTTTAGTTTATGCTATCAGAATCTGTTAACTTTGTTTGTACCGATCAGTGTTCAGATCGGCACATAACACATAAGTAATAAGTTTTTGTAATGAATTGTAAGGAAGGAGAACGTCTCCCTATGTACGGAAGGAGAACGTCTAGATATTTTTATTCGACGTTTTACTACCCGTTTAAAAGCTGCACATCGTCCACCAACGCTTCGGGGCTGGTATACACCAGCATACCTTTATGATTGCTGGATAGCTTATGCCGGATGTACACCTTCTCTATAGGCAATTGTCGCGAGAGTGTTTGCACAAAGTCTTAACTTACCCGCTTTGTGCACTTGGTCTTACATTGTTGATAGACGTGGGTTCACTATCGATGTTTCTCCTGAGTTGCTTTCTATTGTCGATGGGAGCTGATGAATCAAACCTTTAATAGTGCCGGTACTAAAAAGGTGAACATGATGGAACGATATAACTATTTATGGGGTGTGTTTATGTACTAGATTGAATGCATTAATCCGATATGAAGTAAATACTTACATGCAACGTAATGTAAATTTTCAATTCCCGAAGCATAGGTTTCACAGTAACTTCTACTTTTAATTTATTCTCCAACTTATTATTTCAAGTTTCCAAATCGAAAATAGTGGACCGCCCTCTTCATTCTTGAAAATAAACAATTTGAATGTCGGCTTCGCGGATGAAAGAGTTTGAAGTATTACGGGTTCCGTCGATAAATAATTGTAAGAATGGGTATTGGCAACGCCAACTAGCATATAGAAAAATAACCTGATGATTTTATGAAAATTTCAAGATAATATAAAAGTATTTGTACCAGCTTCTAGTACAAATATATTAAATCTAAATTTTTTACCTCTCTTATTGCAATAAATTTTTACCAAAAAAAAGGATGTGTCCACATTAAAAATGTGATGTGTTTTTAAGTATATTTTGAAAGCTTACATTTATATGCGTTTATTAAAAGATGATACAGAAATATTTGCACTACTTCTATGCCTACATGCACATCAGGCTTCATGTTCGTTGCAGAGGTTCTGGAAAGATTGAAGGGAAGTTAAAATTGTCAAAATGCCGCGAGAAGCTCGGGGCGAGTGATGCAACGATGTAAGACTTACCGTGCGTTAATTAACGACGATGAATACAAAACACTTCCACAACTGAGTGGGAACGAGCTAAAATTCGTGTACAATTGTGTTATAGGACAATGTAGTAGACTTTAAATGAAGTGCAAATGTATATATATATTTCTGTCCTCACCTTTGGTTTCATACCTAAGGTGTTTGTGCTAGTGTTCAGCCACTTGGGCTGGTCAGGGTAAATCCTCATATGGTCGCAGAGCACTTTAACACTTCGATGATATTTTATTTCGACTTTTCTGCAACTAAATCTCACGCTGATCACACTATGCATTTCCACATAGGTTGTGACTCACATAGAACCGCAGCTATTTTTAAAATGTCGCGGTTGGCATACTTAATCCACTCTCGGGAGTTGGTTGAGAAACGTAATCTGCTCTCGGGAGTCGGTAATACAGTCGGTTAAGTATTAACTCAACTCTCGGGAGTAGGTTAAGCAACTTGATTAGCTCTCGGGAGTGAGCTGACTCTGAGGACTTCTAAAAATCAAAAAAGGTTTCTTACAGTAAAATCTGGCCTGAGATCTGTAGTCTCAAACTGTGTGGAATAAAGCTGGTCCACACTCGCAGTGGTAATATGGGCTGAGTCAATCTAGGTATTTTCGAACGTGATACTGAGTCGAAGTACAGCTGGAGGCTGCCCGATACCACACCACACACCTGGTTCGCCATATCGGGAAGTATGATAGTCGGTACCGGAAGTCCCGAAGATTTGGTCTGTACCGATAATTGGAAGTAGTACTTCAGCAGAGTGATGAGACGGAGTATGGGGAACATCGATCTATTTACCAGTATTGGATGGGGGTAAATTGGTGCCCGCTGTTCATGGAGGAAAGAGTTCCCCATAATGTTCGTGGGGAATCCATATACCGTGGTAGTCATGTCGATTCTGGAGCTGTTGTAGTACGGCGGTAGATTAGGCCCCCCAGAATACGTCTTAAAAAGCTACTGGTACAAGCAAAGTGGCTGGAAGTAAATACCTTATCTCCCTCGATACTCAATCTGAGAGACTACAGTAGTAGACGTATTTCTGTATACGTTAATATCGTTTTACGTCGTCAGCCCGAGAGTAATTTGGGACTTGTTCTCAAATTAATATAAGTATAGGTGGGTCAGCCCGAGAGAACGTAAGAGTAATTTGAGACTTCTTCTCAGATTATTCTATTTATAGAATACGGGTCACCGGCTAGCCGAGAGTCGAGGCCCGAGACTGAGTATAGAAACAGAGAATATGATATATTTATTTCTAGAAAATATATCCGAGTGCTAAAGTGTTCTGCAGAAGGTTTCTCATACTGATAATATAAGTTTTTACCCTGGCCAACCCAAGTGGTTGAACACTAGTACAAACACCATCAGTACATAACTGAAGGTGAGATCATAAATAAATTCATTCGAATGCGCCATACTTTAAATACACTAGCACTTTACTAATAGTCCCCCACACCGCACGCTAACACCTCATTTGTCTGACGTTGATTTCATTTGCAGGTACCGTGACTGTGGAGCCTGGTAGGTTGCAATGAACATCAGGAGGAATATTCGCATTGGTATCCAGGAGGTCTGTAAGTGACTCTCTGAAACCTTCTTGTTCATGCTCTGGGTCCTCTTCATGTGGTGTGAGGAGTGATTCCCATTTTGCATCTGTTGGGATGAGCGGGTTGAATATCCCTGCTATGTATACACCTATGTATGGTAGAATGTATATATTTAGAATTATTGGTGTCATATTGTCTGGTAAGTCCAATACTTCAAAGCACTGAGAGGTCTTCCTCCCTCCATAGTTAATGTCACAAACTTGTGTTGATCCAGTGCGTTGTAATCTTGCATCTGTTTGTGCTAGTTGTATATACCCAGGTAGCGCTCTAACAGACAGATATAGTTCTGAAACTACACTTTTGTCCCTGCATGAGCGTTGTGCCCCTGAGTCTAATAGTGCATTGTATGTATTGCCATTTATTTGTATATCAATGTGTAAGCGTTGGTCTCGTGGTGCGGGAATTAAAGATAAAGGTTGATAATTTATATCATTCGCATTTATTAATAACGTTGCTTCATCTGTAAATACATTGAGTATGTCAGCCAGGTCAATCATGTTTGCTTCCTCCCTCCAGTGTTTTCAGTGCTCATCACCCTCTGTGATGTCTTCCACTTTGCCAGATGTAATGGACAGTCTTGATATCTGTACATCTTTCTTGGCTCGCTGCTCAGCCCTCTTGGCTTGAACTGCTTTCGTATCGGGACACCGATGTGGGGATAGCATTGCCAAGCAGTATGGGCTTGTACGTTCTTCACGTGCTTCTTTCTTTTTCTGTGTCTGCCCCCCCCCCCCTGCTTGTTCTGGTTGTGTGCACCATTGTCTGTATTGTGACGCTTGTTGGCGTTCGTGGAGTTATCCTCCACCTGCATGTTCGTCTGTGCGTTGTTGCGCTTATTTGCAGCTCGCGCCTGATCTCTCAACATACGCTCTCCTTGTGTCACAGACATCGTTCTTATGTGTGTCTCAGTCATAGTGTGTAACTTGGTATGTTCTATGTCAGACAGGTGTCCTTCACTTCCATCAGGTTGCTTGTCTCCTTTGATTAGGAGATCCCCTACTGATTGTAGTCCATAGTACTGTAGTAAGTAGTCGAGGATAACTGTATCTCAACGTACTCCCCTCGTACAAGGGGAGACGTTGTTCAATTTTTGAACTAAATCCTGTGACTATCATTTTGGTCATGTGTTTTCCGTTAATCAGTTTTAACCTGATTGGATAACCCCAGTTCAAAATATAGTCTCTAATAAAACCCAAATATCAAATAAACCCTAATCCTAAATAAACCCTAATCCTAAATAAACCCTATCAGGGACTTCCTGACTACAACCCCCCCAAGATGAAACACCACAAGTGTGCGAGCTTAAAAGATTGAAGGAATCCCCTGAAAGCGGTTACGTGCTGGCATTTATCTTCAGAGCTAAAGCATTGTACTGGCATTTAACCTCAGAGAGCTAGAGGGCTCGGCTATTTGTTCAACGCTCGAGCTGGTGACTAAACTGTAATTAAACGTATCCTAAAACTATATCTATTAACAAATTATCTTCTAACTATAACTGGTCTCTCCGGCGTTTCGGAGCTCGTGTCTGTGTATCTTTGTGATAAGCCACAATGTCGTTAGCGTAGTCAAAGGCCTCGGCCGTTTCCCACGTCGGCACCCCCTCACGCCAACGCACCAGATATTCGAGCTTACCCGTAACATCATTTGTCCTATGTTTGATGATGTGACGGAATGCTGACCCTCCTTCTCGCCAAAGATCATCGTCCAATGGTGGTTCTGTACTGCGGTGGACCAATCGTAGTAACTCAACCCGTACCGGCTTCCCCTTAAACTCCTGGGGAGTGGATCCATATCTATGTGTAAGGTCATATCCTTGACCGTTGCGGCCTTTAACTACATATGGGTCAAACAGTGGGCGCATGGCTTCGGAAGTTCACCCCTCCGATTTCACCATCACGACGTCGCCTTCGTCAAAGTGGACTAAGTCATGGGCGTGTAACCGATCAAACGGCTTCGTCCATTTTATCCGTATAGGTCGTAGTGATCTTATGTAGCGTAGGCAAAATTATATCCTGGAGCTGGTCCAACCGTTGTGCCCACGTGTCATTAGTAACCGGTTGTTGCTCTGGGACGTCATCGCACGTGTCGACGGCCGAAATAAACACTAAATGGTGCGCTCTTGTGTCGCCGGGAGATGCGCAAGTTCTGGTACAGCATTGTAAAAGGGAGACGTTCGTCCCATGCTTGGGTTACTGCCTCACAGACGATGCGTATCGAACGTGTTATCTTCTTGTGCCGACGTTCCATTGCCCCCAACACCTGTGGTCTATAAGGTGGTGATACTTTGTGAAGTATACCCACTGCCTTGACACTGAGGGTGACCATGTTGTTAGTAAACTCATTACCCATATCTGTCTGTAGCTTGCGCGGGAAGCCGTGTTCGCCAAAGATAAACAACAACATCTGCGCGGTGGTTTCCTTACTTGAATAGCCGGAGGCCACGTCTAATACATAGAAGACAAATTTATTCTGTCTTGTGGATGTGACCGGCATTGGAATATAGACCACCTGAATGTGATCCCAAGGATACTTCGCGTCAATACTCATCATCGGATGGAAGCCTATACGTGGGGTATCCTGGCCCAAACATTGTCCACACTGCCGCTTGATTTCTGTAGCTAGCTCTAATGCCTCCGGCCAAACGTGTCCGTTCTGTTGTAACTATTGGACAGTATCGGCAGCGCCGTGGTGGCCTTGCTCATGCTGTGCCTGTGTGAGTTGTGTACGCCGTTGTTGTTCCATCGATGAGGCATTCGCAAAGGCCGGTTGTGCCACCTCACTAGTTAACGCCACGGAAATCTCTCGTGCCGTATCCAAACACCGATGGTATGGTGTGTGTCGAGATTCGGCATAGCTTAATCTTTGTGTAAAGCTCTCGGCTAGCTGGAAATCTGACGGCGGCCCCACTCGTGCAACGACCGTGTGCCCCCACTGCGTCTTCCCACAGGCATACTTCTCATACTTTAGAAATGTAGGCAGGGTCCGGGATACTAACACTGGCTCGGCTTGCAATAATGATTTGAAAAGGTCAAACCATGGTGCGCGAGGAGTCCAAGGCAAGCACACTGTCGCTGTAGCCCCGTCCGCTTTGATCTTCCGAAGCTTGCGGTGTATCAACCTTCACGGCTTGTTCGAAGTAGCTGGGAAATAATTGCCAACGGTCTGCATACAGGATTTCTGGCACGTCTGTTTCCGCGGTCCCTTCATGTATGCGACTCAGTATATCCGGCAGGACATTCCTCTCCCTAGATATATGTGAAATGGTGAAGTTAAAGGGCGCTATGATGTGGTGCCACCTCTATAGCATAGGATTAAGCTTCAGTTGGGTTTTCATGTATACTAATGCTTTGTGATCCGTAAACACCGCGAAGCGCTGGCCGTCTAGGTAGTCGCGGAAGTGTGTCAACCCGTAGACCAACGCTAGTAGTTCCTTCATGGG